ATTTGGTAATTTTTTGTCACCTTGTTGACTTTATGGAAGTTTTGGGGAAATATTTTTTTTTTTTTAATTCTAGAAGCGGCTTAACCCGAAGCTTCAGAAATTATGACATTATCATATAAACACGACTCCAATAACTAATCTTTTGTTATTCAACTCTAATTGATTTCAGAGAGACTACATTTCAAAGCAAGTTAGCTGAATTGCATTTGAGAGTTTACTTTGTTAATGATATAGGTAACATATGATATTTTTCATGCATGCAGTACTTGCCTAATATTTGTGTTCTCTTTGCATTATTTACAGCTATTAATTTTGCTATGTATTTTTATTATTATTAATTATTATTAAATTGTCATTTTCTTCCTGCTCGCCTGAAGCAATTCTTTAAACCTTTGCGGCACAGTGTGTTCGGTCTGGACACACCTAAAAATTTCTTTCTGTACACAGAGAAAAATTAAATGAAAAAGGATTTATAGGTTACTATAGGTTACTCTGAACCTTCCTTATTTATAGTAGATGGCAGCTCAACACAAACCAGTTCATATATTTTAGCCATGTCTAGTTTTTTAAGACTCTCATTTTACAATGAAAGCTTTCAGATTTTTTTTTTTTTTTTTTTTTTTTTTTTTTTTTTTGCTGTATGTTAATTTCCTTATTCTATATCAGTTTAAAATTTTTACCTTGAAATCTTGCCTAAAATCAAACGGCAAACCCTAGGTGTGCCCAGACCAGGCTCACCGATAATTTACGATGACTGAGAGTTTGTATACTTTGTTTCTCTGCATCTCATCAGTCAGTTCATTGACAACAATGCTCGTTTCAGCCCTTTTTTCGAAGCTCTATTTCTCAGTGTGCCCACAGTGGGCACACCCACAGTTAAAACGATAAGTTTCACAAAATTTACTTGTACTCCTCTAGGCCTAATTAGACTGCCTACCTCTTTTTTTTTTTAATCAAAAATTCCGACTTTTAAAGGGTAGCATGCCGGAAAGGTTAACAGAACCATGAAACCCATAGCTCACAATATATAGTTCTAGCATCTGAGACATATTTAATACTTTACAATTAAATTTAAATACTTATAAATAAACTTTTAGCACTGATAATAATATTCAATGAAGAGTCTTCTTCTAAAAATTTATATCATGTTTTGAAAGCAAAACAAGCAGATCATGTAGTGGATACAATTAATTCATTTCAGAGATAAATTTTATACCAAAATCATTCCTCAGCTCCTAGACTAAGCAAAGAGATGCTTGCTTTCTAGACTCAATTTAGATCTCAAAAGGGTGGTGTTGTTGTATTTAATTATGGCAAAGCTCACTAGGGCTATCTGCTAAAGGGGGGGATTGCCTTGTGGAGAACTTTCTAAGGGAAACTGGCTCGTATACACGTTACACATGGGGAAACCCATGCAGCCAGCCCGTTCGCGGGATTCGAACCTCGAACTGAACTACCAGTGTTCAGCGACTTTTACCGCTCGTCCGCTGGTGGGCGATCTCAAAAGAGGAAAACCTTACATATATGCCACCCATGCAGCTGCTCTGAGGTTTTTAGCCATTGAGTTATGTTTGGACTACAACTATGTCTGGACACACCTAAAAATTTCTTTCTGTACACAGAGAAAAATTAAATGAAAAAGGATTTATAGGTTACTATAGGTTACTCTGAACCTTCCTTATTTATAGTAGATGGCAGCTCAACACAAACCAGTTCATATTTTAGCCATGTCTAGTTTTTAAGACTCTCATTTTACAATGAAAATCTTTCCAGATTTTTTTTTTTTTTTTTTTTTTTTTTGCTGTTGTTAATTTCCTTATTCTATATCAGTTTAAAAGTTTTACCTTGAAATCTTGCCTAAAATCAAACGGCAAACCCTAGGTGTGCCCAGACCAGGCTCACCGATAATTTACGATGACTGAGAGTTTGTATACTTTGTTTCTCTGCATCTCATCAGTCAGTTCATTGATAACAATGCTCGTTTCAGCCCTCTTTTCGAAGCTCTATTCAATCAGTGTGCCCACAGTGGGCACACCCACAGAATTAAAACGATAAGTTTCACAAAATTTTACTTGTATACTCCTCTAGGCCTAATTAGACTGCCTACCTCTTTTTTTTTTTTTTAAATCAAAACTCTGACTTTAAAAGGTAGCATGCCGGAAAGGTTAAACAGAACCATGAACCCATAGCTCACAATATATAGTTCTAGCATCTGAGACATATTTAATACTTACAATAAATTATTAAATACTTATAAATAAACTTTTAGCACTGATAATAATATTCAATGAAGAGTCTTCTTCTAAAAATTTATATCATGTTTTTGAAAGCAAAACAAGCAGATCATGTAGTGGATACAAATTAATTCATTTCAGAGATAAATTATACCAAATCATTCCTCAGCTCCTAGACTAAGCAAAGAGATGCTGCCTTGAGCTTTCTAAGAGAAAATAACTCATTTAGATCTCAAAAGAGGTGTGGTGTGGTGTATTTAATTATGGCAAAGCTCACTAGGGCTATCTGCCTAAGGGGAGGGATGCCTTTGTGGAGAACTTTCTAAGGGAAACTGGCTCGTATACATGTTACACATGGGGAAACCCATGCAGCCATAACATGACTGATCATGTTAAAAGCTAATCACTAATGACAATCTGGACAACAAGCTAATTAATGACAATCTGATTAGGTATTATAAAAGACAGACATATCTAATTCCAAAATTTATTGCTAGAAGTTTTGCTTACTGAGAGAAAAGCCACTTCCCCCCCCCAAAAAAATATAGGATTTTTTAAAAGTGAGAAAATACATATTACATTCAAAAATTCTTATCTGGAATTCCATCACATTTGGTTGTTTTAATGACTTTCATATGAGAAATATTTATGCTTGCATTGTAAACCAAATTTTGTGATGCAAAAACATATTAAAACCATGTAATGGCGTCATCATATAATTGGGATTAAACACTTCAAATTTCCCCCCCCCCAAAAAAAAACAATAATTCTATTTTTATGGGAAAATTCCAGCTGTTATAGTTCTAGAAAGCAGTAGATTTAGCCAATATTATTAGTCATAGCAATTACCACAAAAGTGACGGAAAAAAATGTATGTAATCAAGCACACATAAATATCACTAAAATTTCCTTCTGGCATAAAATAAGCATAGTTTAGACATGATACTAAGCCAAAATCTTAAAAACTTAAAAAAGTATAATAAGAAATTATAAGAGTAATGCTTTCCAAATTTAAAAAATCCTTTAAAAATGCTCATCATGAATTACCAATAAACACTTGTAACTACCACCTCTCACCAATTATAGACACAGATTTTCTTGCATTTAAAACAGCTATAAAAGCAATGAGAATACCTTAAAATTCTACTCTCACATTTTCCCACAATTTTGCCAATGTCACATAATGTTTTCTTTTGTCACAGAAACCTCACTTCTAAATCTGGTTGGTGGGTTATTCTTTAATTTCGCCGACAAATAAAATGACATAATCGTATTGCATTTTAAAACATGCTGTTATCATTATTTGTCATAGTTAGTCAATAACTCTGCTATTACAAATAATGATGACTTACATTTAGAAAATGAAAAATCTATTATAATAAATAATAACGACTTTATAACAAAAAAGTTTTGATTGCATCTGTGAAATCTGGAAAGAAGTCAAGGCACTTCACTTCACTAATTTTGATTCTATGAACACATCAAGTTAAGACTGCAAAGCGAGACTAAAATTTAAAGCCACTGAATCTGCAGAAAAATATGAAAACAGAAATGCAAATTGACATTTTTGCTTTGGCTATTTGTTTTGAAAAGCAAATGTATTAGTCCTTATTTTCATGCAAACAACAAATTACTTTATAAGGCTTAGAAGGAAGAAAGGAAGACTTTCATAAATCAATGAAGCTGTGACATCTTATATAACTTAAACACACACAAAGAAAGAAATCTTCTAAAATGCATACAGAAAGCAATCTAATCACTTGACAATACATGTAACTAAAATCAGGAGAAATCCTTCAGAATACAGGAAATAATTTTTAAAGACAACTGCACTGGTGAAACAATCATATTTGTAGCAAGTTACCATTAAAGCTCCTAACACCTATCTATCAAACAATTTTCGAATGGTGAGAAGCTGTCAATATATTAAAATTTTAATTAAAAAAAAAGGACTGAGAATGAAATTTTTGCTTGTGCTATTATAGACTGCTCTCCTCCCCCCAAAAAACGTATGCGTAATAGCATAGCTTAGGCTAAATGGTATACGGAATGCGCAACCTGGAACCTTCATAAATTTTATTTTGCTTTAATTTGCATTACCAATTTTTTAATTTTGCACAGCTGTCAAAAAAATTTTAAAAAATGTGCTGCTTTATTACAAATGCTCATAGCTTTGGTCAAATATAACTATTCGGCATTCAACAAATAATTAGAGGTTTAATTGATAACAAAATATAAATCCTAGTCATTGATTGGCAACATTATGTCAGAACTCCCAGGAAAATTAAAGGAAAAAAAAAGCCACTCAAAACTGGGAGATACGAGTAACAGCTATTTCATTTTGTGTTTCAATTTTTTTAAATAATTTTCTTTACCCTGTTAATACTAGTAAAATTAAAAGCTGCGTTTTATCAGCTATGGTACCTTATATTTGAAGAAAAATAATTTTCATAAACTTAAGTGCTGGAAACAATAGCAAAAAAATGAACTGCCATGTGTGTGTCAGAAATTATAATAAATACAAAATTCACATTCTTTCCTAGCATGATTTTTTTTTTTTTTTTTTTTTTTTTTTTTTTTAAATACAGCAATAATTTCTTCTGTTAGAATGTAAATGAGACCATATTCAGATGCACTCAAAACTCATTTTCAGAAATTGATATATTCCTCACCATTTATAATACATCAACATAAAAAAAAAAATTTAGAATCATCATTACACAACTACAGTATTAACAGAAAGAGAAAGAGGAAGAAAGATCATACATGCAGAAGCTGTGTAAATTCATTATAGCTGATTTCACGTTGCTTGTCTGCACCAAAGTGCAACCGTAAAAATTCACTATTGAAATTAAAAGGTATTTCCTGGTGAAGAGTGGTATGCTTGATAATTTCTTCAAATTCATCTGAAAGCATAATCAAAAATTTTAAATTACAAAATTGTGATACAATTTGTGCATTAAATTTTTAAAATAAAGAATAAAAAAGCAACATAAGTAGATTTTTTAATTTTAGATACAGCAAGCTGTTAAAAAGATTAAATCACTTTTTCAGGCAGGAAGATCTGCATAACACACACAGATTTGAAAATGACTATAAATTTAAGAAAATATCCTCACAAAATATAATTTGTAAAATTGATGGATTTTTTTAGCAAGTTATTGGCTATAATATTTTATCTCAAGTACAGGAAAAATAAACGAATATTTCAAAAATGGTTTGGTTTGGTTTATTTTTATTTATGCAAAAGCATACGGCTATGTGCTAAGGCGAGGGCTGTCTTCGTGGAGGACTTTCTAAGGGAAACTGGCTCATATACACGTTACACATGGGGAAAACCACGAAAACGCCAATTTGCAGTTAGCCAATTTGTGGGATTTGAACCTTGGACAAACTACCAGTGTTCTGCGACTTTACAGCTCGGCCGCTGGTGGGCCTATTTCAAAAATAAAAGACTTAAGATCCCATTCATTACAGTAAAATCTAAAACATAATCAATGAGAAATTTGCAACTTTAAGACGAAACAAAATACCATTTTAAAGCCATTTTTATACAAAAATTTGAGCATCATTTCTTTGACATCTTGAATAAAGTGCATTTTTTTTTGGCATAATGTGCTGGCATCTAAGAACAACACTCCATAACACATCCTAGCAGCACCAAAACATTCACAGTATGTTCAAAGAGCAAGTAAATTATTTTATAATGGTATAACACATTTAGAATGTTCTCAATAATGTTGTATATTGACGAGTTTACAATAAAATCTTAGAATCTCAGTTTATTTTACCTGTTAATGAAAGGTTATTAACATGTATATTTCAATACACAATAGTGGTACTAGCTACAAACAAGTGCTGTAAATATGTATTACATTATAGAACAGATGTTAAACTGTTGTTAGTACAGTACCAAGTCCAAAATCAGGACTCGGCGGGACTTCGGCGATTCCGGATATTAGATCATCATCAATTTAAATCTGGTAATATGGCATGCAGAAATTATACAATTAAAAATATGAAATAGTAATTTATCAAATAAAGAACAATTATGATCTAAAGGGTATCAAAATTTACAAAAAAAAAAAAAAAAAAAAAAAAAAAAAAAAAAAAAAAAACCAGCTTTCTTTCAATGTAAGTTGCTTCCACAAAACATTCAAAAAGTTCCTTTTTCTTATGTCATATACAGTTGACTTTCCAATTTATTTTATTCCATACTCCTCACAGAATTTTGAGACAGATTCCTTTGGCAGCTCCAGAATTGGAAACTCTTTTCGACATAATCGAAAGTTCAAGCTTAGTTTTTATAAAATTGTCATAATAATAACAGTCTGCTTCCACAAAACATTCAAAAAGTTCCTTTTTCTTATGTCATATACAGCTGACTTTCCAATTTATTTTATTCCATACTCCTCACAGAATTTTGAGACAGATTGTAGATCCTTTGGCAGCTCCAGAATTGGAAACTCTTTTCGACATAACCGAAAGTTCAAGCTTAGTTTTTATAAAATTGTCATAATAATAACAGTCTGCAAAAAACAATAAGCTGGGTCAAATTAGAAGATTAGGGAGCAGCACAGTCTGCTACATTAACTGAAATGCCTTAGAATTAGTGAAGATAATTTTAGCCTAGCTTAATAGCATCCGTTATACATTATTGACTGTGTATCACAAGATTGGCGATGAAAGCCAAATTTGTTTCGCCAAATTTTGTCTTGCTCCTATTGCGTACTGAATTAAGCCTGAATTGCATTAGTTTAGTTCATTACTATACCTATGTTTAGTTCCTGCACATGCTTAAAACTAATCCGAATCCTGAATAAATAAACTCCCATTAATACTTAAGGCTTTATCTAGGGCAGGTGCTAGATACCTCCTGATGCAGTCTCTACGGGTCCTAAATTCTGCTACAAAGTGCCTCCCAAGTTCTAAATTTTCACAGCGTCTAAACTTTGGATCCCAGTGCTTTCTCTTAATCATAAAAAACTTCTCATTCCTTAATTTTGCCGCTCGGTTCTTCCCCAAATTCTAAAAATTCCATCTTCCCTAAATTCTGTTGTTCGGTGCCGACATATTCTGCCGCCGCTTCTGGGTTTATGGTGAATAACATATCAGTTATTCTTAGTTAAAATAACACTAAATGTAATCTGTTGGCCTATGAGTTTCATTAACGAAATTTGTTTTTAGCATATGAAAAGAAATTTTGGTTGAATTTTTCATCATCAACATTTCTTAGAGCATTTAAAAAATCTATAATCATCGCCAAGCATAATGTTAGCATAAAAGGTTGCCATACTCTTGTTATTCAATTCCTAATACAAAAAAAAAAAAAAAGTTTAGACATCACTGCATGAGTTTTTACTAAAGCTGTCATGTACTGATAAACATGCGGTGATGAAAGCAAAATATAATAAATAATGACTCGCCAGGTCGGCGTCAAGGATATAAAATACGTGAATGTTTTGGGTTTGAGATGTTATGCCAAGTAGATACTCAGCTATGGAGCCAAATTATTAATCTCATAAATTTATGCTTACGTGATTTTTTTTCCATAACAAGGTATTTTATTTAGTGCATAAGTGAAATTCAGAATCGGAATTTTTAAGTGAAAATCTCTACATGTTTTATTATGGGAGGAAAAATCAAATGCGCATGCATAAAGCATACAAAAAAAAAAAAAATGTTTGTGGCTTTGAGGTTAGGATTTTAGATTATTCCAGATAATAGACGTCCGGATTTCGGACTTTGTATTGTATTGATATATTAGCGCAAGCATTAGTATACTTCCAGTATATGTTTTAATGGTGGGCACTGTTTATGTTTAGAATGATTATTTACCTTTTCAGTGTTCATACACATTTCTTTAAATGGAAAATAAGGACTTTTAAGGACTTCCAGTGAAATATATATACATTATTGAATACAGAATGTATTACAGTACAAAGTCCGTAATCCGGACATCCATTATCCAGAATGATCTATAATCCAGACCTCAAAGCCACACATGCGTAAATGCACGTAATGTATTTACGCTTGCGCGTTTGATGCGCGTGTCTGCTACGCATGTAAGCATTTACCCATGCGTGCTTCACATAGTGAAGAAAGTAACAGAGAAATTATTGAAAACGAAAAAATGCCGATTGACAAAGTTAGTCAGTATTCACGACACAGTAATTACAGGATTTGAACAGTGGAACTTTGTAACTGAACAAGAAATCATGTCTGTTTATAGAATTAAAGAGAAAGTATTAGCACAAGAAACGAAGCAATTTAAACAACTTACATTGACAGAAATGTTTATTAAAGTAAACAAATAAATATTAAGTTGGTTTTTTTTTTTTTTGTGTGTGTGTGTGTGTGTGTGTGGTGTAAATTTTGATACCCTTTAGATCAAAATTGCTCTTTATTTCATAAATTACGGTTTCATATTTTTAATTGTATAATTTCTGCATGCCATCTTACCAGATTTAAATTGATGATATATAATCCGAAATTGCCAAAGTCCCGATTAGTATGTTATGATTAGTAATATAGTACAAAGTCAGGATTACAGACTTTGTACTATATTACTAATCATAATCTAATAATTAACATAACTGTAAAACAAAGAATAAAACCAATCCTTTAAAGCTTACAAATATCAAATAATGAATCTATTTTCTTGAAAAACTTATATTTTAGAATTATAACAGTCACATCTTACATTTTTAAAAAGATTTATATGATAACTAATAAAAAAAATGTTACTCTTAAAAATACTCACTGTAAAAACTGCTTCAAAAATTAAAATTAGAATATTTTGTAGTTTAAAACAACAGAAAAAGACATATATAATTTACTACACTAGTTCTCAGAAAAAAATGATACATTAAGAAATTTAAAACATCCATCATATTATAAAAAAAAATTGTTTTGTTTTTTTTTAATCTGAAATTTTAGGTATTTTAGGGTCTAGTTTATTTATAGTCTATTTCTTTTCTTTAACTATTTTTTGAAGTTCATTAGCTTCAATATACACTCACTTCCAAAAGTGAAGCACGAAGATGTAAAATGCAAAAAAAATTAACAAATACTGCTTTGGTTGACACAAAATTCGGCAGGAAAGTAACATACATATTTATGCATAAAACAAAATCAATAATTATATACAGAAATGAAAACAATATTAAAAGTTATCAGATAATGACATACTAGAGACTTAAACAGAATTAAGTATAAAAAGAAAATAAACAGCATAAAATGAAAAAAAAAAGGGTGGCATTAACAGGGTATGTGATCCCCCCTCATCTGTATACAAAATTTACACCTTGTGACCATGCTTTCAATTAGGTGGTCAACCACCGCAGAATTAAGCAATCCCATTCTTCTTGTAGAGCAGTTTCCAGCTCAATAAGAGTGGCTGGAGGTGGGAAACGTGCATATAGAGCATGGTCGAGAGCACCAAAGATTTTCAGTGGTATTAAGGTCGGGTGAATATGCTGGCCATGCCATACGCGCAATCCCTTCACTCTCCAGGTAGTCATCGACGATGTCAGCTCTATGGGGACGTGCGTTATCGTCCATTAAAACAAAAGTAGGGCCAACTGTTGCAGCGTACAATCTCACAGTGGGTTCTAGGACTTCATCTCGATACTGGACAGCCATCAAAGAACCCTGTTTAAAGATGTGTAGGTCAGTGCTGTATCCTAATGAAATCCCTGCCCACACAATAATGCTTCCGCAGAATGTTTGGTGATGTTTTGGGACTGACTGCATGTTCGTTGTTCACGCCATATCCTTATATGCTTGTCATCTGGCTCCAGAGCAAATCTTGACTCACCAGTAAGCATGACATTGCCCCAGTCAGACACATGTTCCTGGCACCACTGCAATCGTGCCCCTCTTGAATGGACTGATAGAGGAACAC